ATGATAAAACCTCGCAGAGTTATTTAAATGGTTTGGCGAAATTTCTGTCAGATCCCGCCGGCGGGACCGCCGACCCCAGAGGAATTTAATATTCTAATCTAATCAGTTAACGGTTAATGTTCGGTTAACGAACGGCGGTTGTCGGTTGGGAAAATTAATTGAAATGAGCATCCCTAATCGAAAACAAAGAATTCTGTCAGTTTATCAGAGTTCAATGTATCTCCAAAGATTATATTTTCAAATCTAAAATTATATAACCAATGTTTACATAGCCTATGCTATAGGGAATGTCCCCCCAAACACAACCAATACAAAGGACAGCATGGCTGTATGGTCATGGCCGGATCTAAAAGCGGGCAAAGTTTTCTGCTCTGCTTACCGAATTGGTCAACTTTAGTCTGTAGCATCTGAATCTGCCAGTCGCATTTAGGCCTATTGGTAGTCGCCTTTGAAAGTGGAGGAGGAATTTTACCTCATTCTTATTAAAGCTCCTTCTTGTTAAAATCTATCTTTTGTTGCTGAAGTTTGTGCAATGTTGTGTTGAATAAGGATCTTTGCTAGTGGTTGATTAGTTAACTCTTAGTTAGCTAGCTAGCTAACATTACTGTTGGCTAGGAAGCTCACTATAGAACTGAACAGTGGAACCCCTGTATCTGCTGATTTGGTAACGACGGTCTCATTTTAATTTATGAATTAAACTTTATCTTAGGTATGAAAGTACACGAAAAACAAGTAGGCCTAATTTATAGTGTTTGCTAATACCCACGGTTTCGATCTCCACGGTAGGTCTTGGATCGCATCCCCCGCTGACACGGGGCACTACTGTATTTAACATTTGACAGTTTGCTAACGTTAATATCATCGCAGGGTTGCCAACTTCGGTCAGCTGGCTGGAGTGAGATTTTTCATTCGAGACAAGTCTGCACACACACGCACATTCATTTACATGTATGCAACAGTTTTATTACCTTAACTCTCCCACCGTATCAGCACCTTTCGACGTCTGACCACCTTGTATTTCAGATGTGTGTGTGTGGGTAGGTTGCTTATTGGGTTCATGTTACACTCCTGTCCAGAATTCGGTTAAAGTGCGTGTTCTCTCCCGGCAAGCAAGTATATCCTCGTCCTTCGCTACGTCCGCAATGCCTCCGTCTGTCCGCCGCTACAGTATTGTAACTATAACAGATATAGTTTACGAATAAAAATAAAACGAACTGTATACAACTGAACATTTATTTTCAATTATACACATCCAGATATAGACATAAGCTTGAACATGCATTAAAAAAAACTGGCTACAGACAACGTACTACATAAGGTTAAAAGCAGCACGTTCAAGTGAATTATAGCACGTAATCTATCTAACCGGGTAACTTTATACTGAGCACTGTCGGCAGGGTACTCCGGCTTCCCCCCACAGTCCAAAAACATGTTGAGGCTAATTGGAGTTACCAAATTGCCCGTATGTGTATATGTGTTAAGTGAATGCGTGGTGTGTGAGTGGCGCTCCATCCTTGCAAACCCTACAGACTATTATTGTTATTTATTAAACAAGCTAAGAACACGCGAGGATCGGACAGGATACACAAAAGATACGAACGGGCAAACACAGGTGCGACAATAGGGAAATGCAACCATATAAACAACACCAGTACACCAAGGGCTATTTACATTGTCCGCGAGCATTGCAGGATATGCTGATATACAAGATACAGGTGATGTAGCACCTGCTTTGCATCAAGGTACTGTAGCTTGTAACCTTTGGGACGGTTCTTAAAGGAACCATTGTTGTTCTTTACTTAATATGTCACCATCTGAGGCAAAGGAGAGGAAGGCACTGCTCAGTCTTGGGAAAAGTAAGAGAAAACGGACATGAACCGTCCTTGTCTCACATTCATGTGTCCGTGTCCACCACAAAGGAGTTTTCATGATTTCTTTTGCACTTGAAACCAGTGAACAAGTCTATATCTAACAACTATGGACAATAATAATAATAATCTTTATTTATATGACACTTTTCATAGAAGGAATGCAGCTGAAAGTGCTTCACATATGAAAATAAAACCACAGACAGAGAAGCAACTAATAAGCTTAAAATGCTCTGTGACTACATGTTTTGCATACAGTAGGTTCCAATTCCTATTGTTTCCTGACTGTTTCCATACTTTCTTTTGCAGAAGACTGATGCCACACATGCAGTAAGACAGGAGGTGCAGAGACAGACCCAAGGAGAGAAGGCATGAACATCACAGTGTGCTCTCACATCAGTCATCTTAAATAATGCTGACCTGTCACTCAAATAAAGATGTACTTATGCAAATGCTCCTTACAGCTGTTTTTCAGCTGTTCTGGTGTCTCAGTAACAGTAGTTAGTTGATGCATGAAACCCTGGTATCCAAGTCATATTATGATGTTTTGACCTGAATTAAGATGCAGGCTGGACAAGAGGGAGTACAGAGATCTCGGGGTGATGCATCAAGGAGCATGACTGATTGAGAGTCAGAGTCAGGCATGTTTTATTAATTACACCTTTACTGAGCATCACATTCCGTAACGGATACTCCGATTTGCACAACAATGGCAAATTTCCCCAAAAGAAATAATGTAAATAAATTTAATTCATTCCAGACCCCCAAATGACAGCCTATTTAAACTTATCTACCTACCTAACTAATGATAAAAAGCGTTAACAATCAATATAAACCTAATGCACACATGAAAAAACACACATACTAAAGCAATAAACATGAAATAAATGACAATTTATGAGCACTTTAACTGTACTGAGGTGTGCTGATGGCAGGTGGAGACGAGGAAGGAAGGCGAAACGCGTCTTGAGCCGTACAAATTACAGCAAGTTTGTTTTGATGTTTTCCGAATTTTTGGTTGAGTTACGGCTAGATTTCAATCGAGGGACAAGTCGAAAGAAATTTGGCAGACCCATTCAACATCTGAGTTGGTTGCATTAAGAGGCATTCGAGATCCAAGGTTCTACCATAGAAGTATATTATGAAAATTGGAATTCAGCTTCTCCTTTGTAATGGGAACCTTCAGTTCTTCCTTCTCAGATGATTCCCATAGAACCCAAGACATTACAAAGAGCTTAACGAAGATGATCATTACGGACTTGCAGTCTGTTTTAATGGTTGAGGATGCAGGTATAAGTCATCTTATGAAGATGGTTGATCCCTGATACAAAATTCCTGGTAGGAAATCCCTGATGTCTAATGAAATTCCAAAGCTATATGAGCAAGTCAATAACTGAAACATTTCATAGAATCTACAAGCAGTGTGGTTTTGTACAGTAAGTCATATGTGGACAACAGAACAACTAAAGCTTATTTGACTATGTCAGGATGTTTTATTGACCAGAATTGTCAGAGGCAGGCTTGCAATCTTGAGACATTCCAAGCAGCCATACAGCACAAAATATATCTGAATTCCTCACAATAA